TAATAGATACCCTCTCCATACCCGTAGTTAAAACATTTTGTCCCTGAGGAGGAGGAAGTGGAAACATCACTAGCTTTAAAAGTTTCCCTCTGAAAAACCCATGTCCATACCCTCTTAAAATAGCATCACAAATGAGATGTACCCGAATATCATCATATGTTTGTGAATATACATTTGCACAATTGACACAGGGACACAGCATCTTTGCTACATGTGAAACATTTCGAAATGCATACTTAAGAAAAATTTGTAATATGTCTTTATATTCAGCACTTGTTCTAATGTTTGTCATCCAACTCTTGTCCGTTTTGAAAAAGGAACTCACAACTGCGAAAAAAGAGGGAACACAGAAATTTCAGTGGTCAGGGCTAGCATTGATTTTAGATAAGAAATCAACTCTGCTTGTCTCTATGATCTCTTACTAAAAAAATTACATTGCAGCAGGAACAAGGTGACATGCCTGCTAAAAACTCTCTTCGGGGAGACGAAGTTGCGAATTGTAATGGAACTAGGATTGCCAATGAGATTATTCAATCATACTCAATATTGTATCATGAACAAGAAGACATGGTTGCGAATAACTCTGCAAGTGTGTTGTCAGGTGATGGACACACGATTAAGGAGGAGAAGATCACCAGTCTGCCTAGCTTAGTCAACTACAAATGTGACATCCACTGTGCTTCCTGATAATGATCACCAACAAACCAGCAATGAGTTGGATCCCTGTGCTAATTCATCTATGCAATCCCATAAATCAATGTTGTTCAGCCCAACCCACTCAACCAATAAAGCATGGAGCGATTGGAGCATCAATCTGTAACAGAATTTGATGCAGCAATTGGAGCAATCTTTTTATCAACTCAGAGACAACTCAAGAAGCTTCCCTCTTCTCCAAAGCAGAATCTACAGCAGAATTTGATGAAACGGTTTCTGCAAAGATTGAAAGTGAAAACACAAAACATTTTAAGATAAGAGAAGCCATAGAAGAAAAGCAGAGCTATAGAGAAGACAAAATCTTTTCGATGGATATATAACTTACCGGCAAAAATTAAGCAGACCCCAAAAGGTAATCCTTCATCTCTTCACCACCTCAAACAACAACGGTGGAAAGATGAGCACCCACGCTCCTCATCAATCGGCCAACTGCTCTTGTCCTCCTCTCCATTGAGTCCTGAAGTGGCCTATAGTGGACTGGAGCTCGACAATCTCCTTGTTACTTCTGCTTCTTGTCTGGTCTGGAGCTTTACGAAATGAATAGATTGCTTGCTATTTGGCTTAAGCTGCGATGGTGAGAATAATTGTAAAGATACTGAATTTGTGGAATGATTTTCTGATCTCATTGGCAGCAAGGCTGCAAGTATATGTACGGGAAAAACGGAACTACAAGACAAACGAATTCTAACTGCCTTGTCCATAAAAAACGAGACAAGTATCAGTCTACCACTAGCTACAACTAATAACAAATAAAACGATAAAGCTTTACACTATTAATTTTGTACGATGTCATTTCCATCTTGCTTCTTTCTTCCTTGTGATAAAACGACTCGTCACATCTTCCCTCCTTCATTTGACCGTTGCTGAACAGGGGCTTTAAGTTCATCTACTTCTTCCTTCTCTTCAGCTCTGCTCATGGAGCTTGACAGATGGTGAGTAACCAACTGGGTAATGTTGCTGAAAAGAAGAATATCAAAGAAGAGGAATAACTAAGATTAGACTTCCACGACACCAGCTATTTCTCCCAGTCGCACAGAAAGGTGGATTCAAAATCGCAATTGGAATAGAACTTCACCCGTGCACAATTTCCGAGAACAGGAAGAATGAGAATGACCCAGTAAGTGATTTCCAGCTTACGATTAATTTGAATCAATAGAGTAGCGAAGTGAAGTGGCGTCGGCTGATTCGGGCCCAAATGTACACATTTTACCCCTTATTTCTTATTCGTTTAGCTTACCATTTCATCGTTCCTCGACATATTTCACGCTAGGTTGTGTTTGTTTTGACACATTTCAGGTCCTAGCACGTGTGGAAGGGTCGAGGTCGAATTTTGGGATAATTGGAGGTCAAAAAGTGCAAAAACCGAAGAAAAGTCCGAAGCAACCATGACAATTGCCTCATAACAGTGAAGTGAAGGCGTCCCAGGAAACAGCTGCAGTTCACGGCCGGACGAGGCAGTTCACGGTCTCCTAAGACCGTGAACTTCGACCACAAATCGTGAACACCGAGGCGTCCAACGAGGTTCCTGAAGTTACTGACGACAAGGTAAGACCGTGAACTGTGGCCATTGAACGTGAACCCAGAACAGTGAAGCGGTGTGTTTCGGACGACGCTGAGTTCACGGACGCATTTAGGTGTTCACGGCCGTGAACTGGCCAACGCGTCCGTGAACTTATCGCCTTCGGGCAAACATGAAGACAACAGTGGGAAGAGAGAAAGGAGAGCTGGTTTTTGGAGAAGAAACACTTTCTTTCTCTAGGGTTTCAACCTAAACACCAAAGGGGAGTTCTAGTGAGAGAGAGAGTGCTAGAGTGATCTTGGAGCATCATTGGAGGCTTGGATGGAAGATTCAAGCTTAGAAGAAGAAGAAGAAGATCTTGAGCTCAAATTTATAATCCCTCTCTCTCTCTCTCTCTCTCTCTAGAAGCTCACTCTTTTCTCTTGGGTGGTGTAGATCCCTAACTAATACTTTGTAATTACTTGTTTAGATTGAATGATTAAGTGTGGGTTTGCATCAATTTGAGTATTAGAGGTGTTTTTATGGTGATTGTGCATGCTCGTGCTTAGCAATCTAAGCGTTGTGCATGTTTTGTGCTTAGCATTCTTAGGTTTGTGCATTTTGGTGCTTAGCAACCTAAGGATTGTGCATAATTGTGCTTAGCACCCTTAGGTTTGTGCATGTTGGTGCTAGCAATCTAATTAGCCACCTTAACCTAGCTTAGAGAGTAAAATCCCCCTCCCAAGGGAGACTCAATCGAGTTGGTCTTTCTTTAGCTTTTTAAGCCACCTAACTAGGTTAATTTAGGGCAACCCTCAATGTTGGATTAAGCAAATCGGTTAATCGCGATTAAGCCGTCCAACCTTGCCTTGAGTGAGGGAGTAAGTCACCACCGATTGCCTAAACCGAGAGGGCCGAGTGACACGGCATATAATGTTTACCTCGGTTTAGCAATCGAGATTGTGGTCTACGACCAAATTTGCATCCCTCCGCGGTTCGCGATTACCAGTTTGCATCTAGGTTGGTTGTGATTAAGCCGCTCAAACACCAGTTTGAGGGAGAGACCTAGGCAACCACTAGTGACTGAGTGAGAGGATCGATCCCGTGACAAATCAACCTCCAGTGATCCATCCTGTGACAAATGGACCACTAGTTGCTCCTCCTAGTGGTTCCCCTAGATTTGGCGATTGGATCGATCCCGTGACAAATCGATCGCTAGTGATTTGATTCCGTGACAAATCGATCACTAGTTGCTCACCCCCGCGATTCACAACCACCTACGCCACATGACTCCATTCAATCCAACGAGTCATGGTAGCTAGTTAGGGGGAAGCAACTCTCGGGTGAAGCTCCCTTAGTTAGACTTTTCCTTTATTTACTTTTTCTTGCTAGTTTAGTTTGTAGTTTTCATAGTTTTAAACCCAAAAGTGTTTTGCTATATAACAACCTAAGCGATTGAAGTAGGGGTACATGGATCGGCCCGGGTTGACAATTTAAATACTTGCTCTATACTACACCCAGCTAGAGTTTAAAAACTTGGGCTCTAGTCGGGATTAATTTGTGGTGTAGTTAAGTGCGAGTCACCGGCAGGAAGATCCCCACGACAATACCGAGCTGGAAGTCGGACTCAAAAGAAGAAGATCGAAGAAGGAGGATTTTTCCTATATTAAACATTAGCAAGGGTTCAAAATAATTACCAAAGGTTCATATCTTAGATTCATCCAGTTTTTCTTGTAGCTAACCACTTGGTACTTACTCGGTTTGAAATGAGCGCAAGAGGCGCATTAATTGGTTGTTCCGATGGGTTATTGTTGTGAGTTATTTTTATTCCAATAATTTATTAAATTATTCAAAATATCACAATCAAATAGTTCATGTGAAAGGTTTAGTCGAATACAATTCTCATATAAAAAGCTCATGCGGGCTTTTGTTATGCTCATAAACACATTGGTGCTTTCACTTACCAAAACATGAGGGTTCAAACTGAATTTGTAACTTGATATTATAGTATAATTCAGTTTTTATATATAAATTTTTTGTATACATTTTTTTATGTATAAATAAACATTATAATATAGATTTCTCTATAATAAAATCTAAAATAAATATGAGGATTATAAAATTTCTCTTGAAATATCTTATAAATACCACCTTAATTATATAATTCTAACTGTATCAAATATGTAAAATAACTTATCCAAACCACCTGGGAAAGAAAAAAGAATGAGAGCTAAGTTGTTGTTTTTTTTTTTTCATTTTGTGTAATTGTGTGTAGCTAAATTTGGAATGATGAGTAGGTCTGTTGAAAATTAACAGAATGCAATGATTAACCACCAAAAACCCCACCAGCCCACCAGGAAAGGAATAGGGACATGAGGCCGCAAATCCCCACGTGTTATTTCCTCTATACTCAGTCTCTCTCCCTCGCTCGCTCTCGTCCAGTCTCCTCTTTTTTTTTTATGACGTATGAAAATAGCCCTCGTTTCCTACCCCAAAAACAAAGATAGCCCTCGTTTCATCAAGCTTCATCGATCGGGGTCCTGACCTGACACGTGTCCGCTGAATCTACACTCCATCTGACTTCCTTCGATAAAAACACGCTTTGACCTTCTCCATCATCATCCATCGGTCAACTTACCCCACCCCCCTCTCTGACTTCTCCACGCATATATATATAGCGCAGTACTCACTCCCTTCCACTCTCCAAACCATCAAACCACTATTCGAAGCATCCAAAAGCAATCACCAAGCATCTCCAGCTCAATCTAACTACCCAAAAAAAAAAACAATGGCGTCGACGGAGCCGCCGGCACCACAACAATACCAGCAATCTTCATCGGAGTACTACAACGAGCCGGAACCCGAGCCCAAGTACAAAGGCGTGAGGAAGCGGAAGTGGGGGAAGTGGGTCTCCGAGATCCGCCTCCCCAACAGCCGGGAGCGGATATGGCTCGGCTCCTACACCTCCCCGGAAAAAGCGGCCCGCGCATTCGACGCCGCCCTCTTCTGCCTCCGCGGGCCCGCCGCCCGCTTCAACTTCCCCGACGACCCACCGACGCCAGCCCTCCTCGGCTCCGACTCGGGCCGGGGCCGGTCGCTCAGCCCACAGGAGATCCAGGCCCTGGCGGTCCGGTACGCCAATAATTACAACCATGCCACTACGCAAGCAACAAGAGGAGGAGAAGAAGAAGCCACTAGAACAACAACAACAACAACATTATCGCCACGTGCGGGAAATGGCGGGGGGGCCTACTACTCCAATGCGGGGTCGGATGAGGACGGGCCCGCACGTGTCGCCGCCGCCACCACCAGCAGCAGTGATACGACGATAGATTGGTCGTTTTTGGGAATACTGGATTCCCGCGAACAAGGTGCTGCTACTACTAGTGCTGCGACGTCGGATCACCATTTTGAGCTGTTCTCCGGGATGGACAATATGAGCATGAGCGTGGATATGAATATGGGCGGCGGGGATTATTACCACGACCCGCACCACATGGTTTTGGATGGTAATAATGACGTCATTAATGGGGATTATTACTACCACCATCACGACGAGGCGGTCGGGTACGACGTCGACGGGGGTTATTCGCAGTCCTCGTTTCTGTGGAACTTCTGATTTTGAGGTCTATTATTTTTTTTATTGTGTGTTTTTTCTTGGGCCGCCTATTTTAGACCAAGGAAAATGGAAGAGGGGAGGGAAGCAGCATGAGAAGATTGTCCGTCGGAAATTCGGCTAATTTGTCTGTGCTGGTTTCTGAATATTTTTTTTTTCTTCTCGTTCGTCATTGCTGTTACAGATAGGTATACCCAGGGGATTCCATTAATGAATATTGTTCATGGCTAAATTAGGTCACATTTGTACTATCTCACACTTTATATCCCGTGTCACTGTTTATACTAGCAGTCCAATTCTATTAATTGTTTGTTTTGGATGACAATCAACAATAATCTTTGATTATTAGTATATATTATTATGTGACAATTAAAAATAATAATTTTTTATTTTCCAACTCACAGTCACAGCACCTCCACTCTTTATTCCGACGTTGTCATAGCTAGTTGAACCAGTCAAACAAGTGGGTTGAGGGTTACCGCCTTACCGGTCCAATCGTTTTAGCTAACTCCCTTTAATCCGGATATATGAAAAAAGTCATTATATTGTTTACACATTTATAAATTATGCCGAATCCCATCTAACATATATATATATAAGTAATAACATATAAATTACAAAAAAATAACATGTCGTATACGTACTTCGATCCATCGTATAGTAAAAATACACGCTTATATAACATCAATGTTCAATTTAGAATTTCAAAGATAAGGCTAGGCGAATAGGAAAACCGAAAATAAAGGCAATTCGCAAACCAAATAGAAAAACGACACGTTATGACGTCCAACCCAGCAACCTTGTAACAGTTTCACCCGATGGACGTGTACGACCATTTTTTCAACGATTTGCTGGTTGACAACCTTCCTTTTTTCTCACCCTCCACCCGGGAAGAAGAAAAAAAACCATTATCACCCGAAAACAATCATTTAACAGTACTGGAATGAGGAATTAGCAGCAAAACAACACATCATTAAATGAATGGCTAACATTTAAGAATAGCTCAATAAACAGCTAAAATCCACACACAAAAAAATCCCATCTATTATCAACTTTCAACAAAAATTACGAGTTGTGTGATGTTCAATCAACTAAGGCCGCTGTTTCTTTTCCTTAACCTCTTGTCGCCAGTGTAATATCATGCATCTCCTCCTGGACGTCAAATCACCATCAGAACCGACAAGAGTTCGATTGAAATCAACCGGACTCCAAATTCAACCACAATTCCGACACCCACTAGCATCCGCCGCACCAGTCTTCTTCATCTTTCCTACTCTCGACCTCAAGGAATGGGATCGTAACCTTTACCCATCAGGAGACATGAAGGGATAGTGGTGTCAATTGGGTTCCGGGTTAGTCGGGTTTAGAGTGCATCGGATTGTAGGTTAGTCAGGTTTAGGTTTAATCGGGTTGTGTGTTAGTCGGGTTACGGGTTCATTGTGTTACGAGTCAGTCTGGTTATAGGTTCATTGGGTTTCTGGTCCATCGAATTATCGATTGATCAAAATCTAAATCTTAATTCTCTAAATCTTATACCCAAAATCAATTTAATTAGAAACCAAAATCGACGGTTATGATTCGTCCAAATATAGGCAAAAAAAATCAATGCACCATCTTAGGGTTTGTAGTTTATGATTTAGATAATTAGGACCTAGGGTTCACTCATTAAGGGTTAGGCTATAGTATCATGCCCAAAAATCCTGCTAATTCGAGGTCTAGATAGCGTTTTCATACTCAAGTTATGTCGTACTCCGGATTTCACCCGGGGTACCGTAGAAGGCTAGGGTACGCCCGGACGTACTCTAGCCTACCGTACGCCCGTTGAGTTTTGCTATTTAGACAATGAATTAACCGGAGTTTGGGGCATGATACTATACCGTAACCCCTCGTGGGTGAACCTCAGTTCGCAATTCACTAACCCAAAGCATAATATTCATTAATCTTGAAATGAAAATCGACGGTTCTTATTCGTCGAAATTATTGTTGATTTTCATTTTAAGATTAAACGAATCTCATGATTTGGGTTAGAAAACTAGGGTCTGCGGTTTATCCATTAGTGGTTAGGGTACACCTGACGTACGGCGTACGCCTGCGTTCACACTTATTAATCAATTAATTATTTTTATTTAAGTTAATTATTATTAATAATTAGAAATGCAATTATATACATTCATTAATTGTTGTTTACGTTTTAGTCACGTATCAATTTTTATCATACATTATACTCAAATCAGTCATTTAACTAACAATCGTATAAATTATAGTTATTAAAACACCCAAACTTTACAATGATCTACAACTACAATTTCAGATTGTGAGAGAAGCGAAAAAGGGAAGAAGGATATGGACGAACAGGGTGGGAGTAGTGGTGGTTGTGGTGGGATTTTGGCGTGTGTCTGGAAATGGCAATGAATGTGAGAGGGGAGGAATTCAAATTGCGAGCATTGTGGGCTTTCAATTTATGGTTTTGTGATACGGACAAAGAATGAACTTCAACTATCAACTTCAAGTTGGACTCAACGCCAACAAGGAAGAATAAAGAGACTAGATACTATAACAACACCCCTTGTGTTGTTATTGTAACAACATTAGTCTCCAACCAATAGGAAGCTAGGGTTGTGATGACTTTTTATTAGATGAGTTGACCTAGTGTAAAATCAAAGCAGGGGTATAATTGTCATTATGAAAAATCTGTTTAAATAATAAAAAATAAAAAATAAAAAAATAATTTTTTTATTTTCGGCCCAAAATTTTGGTCGCCGGAATTCAGCCATCGGCCGCCGGAATCCGGTCGCCGGTCACCGGAATATGCTTTTTTGTCATCGGAATATGCCACAGTCGCCGGAATATGCTCACCGTGGTCGGAATATGCTTACCGGCGTCGGAATCTAGTCATCGGGGCCGGAATATGCCTATCGGCGTCGGAATATGCTGACTGACGGTCACCGGAGTTCGGTCAATGAACTTCGTTGACCGGTCAACGGTCTTCGTTGACCGGTCAACGGCCAACGACCACCGGATGTTATGGTCTGCATTGTGAGATTTATGGTTTGGTTTCTCACATTTTTGTATGCCTTTTTGTGGTTTGCTTTATCGCATTTGTGGTTTGCATTGAGAAGTTTCTGGTTTGTTTTATCGTGTTTGTGGTTTGCATTGAGAAGTTTCTGGTTTGCTTTCCAAAACTTTGTGGTTTGCATTATGAGGTTTCTGGTTTGTTTTAATATATTTGTGGTCTGCATTGGGACGTTTATGGTTTGTTTTTTTGTGGTTTGGTTTACTGTATTTGTGGTTTGCATTAGGAGGTTTCTGGTGTGCTTTCGCAAACGTTGTGGTTTGCATTGTGGGGTTTCTGGTTTGTTTTAGGAGATTTGTGGTATGCATTCGGAGGTTTCTGGTTTGCATTAAGAAGTTTTTGGTGTGCTTTCGAAATTTTTGTGGTTTGCTTTGCGAGGTTTCTGGTTTGTTTTAATATATTTGTGGCCTGAATTATGACGTTTTTGGTTTGCTTTACCGTGTTTGTGGATCTATACAAATTGCAGACAAGGAGCAAAGCCATGTTTTTCAAACTTAACAAGATGACCTTGCGCTTTCACTTTTTGCCGTACCAGTTCTATCTGTATTATACCCCAGTTCTGTGTAATTACACTTGCTGCTGGGTGAACTGTTCTGGAAAGGGAAGGGAGCTAATTTGCTGTTATTATTAGAGTTTGATTAACATTTACCACATGTATGAGTTGGTATTATGTAACTTCTCACAGAATCGTATTTCGTATTAGTTTTGACTGAGCAAACCCTGGACAGTCATACATAAGCCAAAAGTTGAGTATAGGATCAGAAACTGGAATGCAATAAATGAGAGCAATGCCTTCAACTAGCTAAATAGTCATACAGAAGCCAAGAACAAAAAACGCACTCTTCTCCACCTCTTTCCCTCACCTTCGCTGCGCTTTCCTCTTCGTCTTCCTCTTGTCGTCTTCCTCTTTTTTTCTACTACTTTTCCTTTTCTTTTTGGTTATCAGCTCTACCTCACTTCCCAAGCTCCTCCAAGCTCTACCCGTCGCCCTGCTGATCCGGCGCTAGCTCCTCCCCTGTTCTCATGTTGCATCGGTTCCAGCTTCCAGGGGAGCGAAGGCGCGGCCGAGTCACCGCCCATTTCCGATTGTCGATCGACTCCGTAATCGGACCAGCTGAATATGTCCTTGAGGCGATAGAACTCGAACCCGGCGGACGAATCAACGATCCCTGCAGTGTCATTGAAGCAGAAACCGTCGGAGTTGACGATGAGGCGGGAGTAGCAGAGGTCCTCTGCCAAACGGGTGAGCTGGTCTCCGTCGATGTCGGAGCCCATCACATCCAGCACGGTGTACTCGAGGTTGGAACTCCGGTGAAGGTTTTGATTTTTTAGGGCCGGCAAGGGAGAAGAAAAAACGAGATCCAGCGCCTGTGGTTCAGAGCGAAGGAGAACATGCGTAGGATTAATTTTTATTTATCATTGTTATTGTTAATTTACCCTTCTACCCTTAATGAATCCTGTTGTTATTATAACAACAAAAAAAGTGTTGTTATACTATCCGGACCCAAGAATAAATGCCGGCTGGTGGTGAGAAGGAAGAATAACGTCGGTGGTGACAATGCAAGGAAGAATCATTGCCGGCGAGTCCCAACATCTGTCTTTTATTTTAGTTTAGGGTATGGATTCTTCGTATAAGTTTGAAAATCAAAAGAAGATGAGAAACCGGCCGGTCATTGATTTTAGGGGAACGATAGAAGGAGCTTCCGGCGGCGACTCCAGCTCCGCTCAAGAGCAGCGCGTTTTGAATTCGGGCCGCTGCAACTGAAGGCGACACTCCGCGTCGGATTCGATCCAATGTCTTCCACTGGTAGCAAGAATCCAGCGGTGCCGGCCGGGGACCCAACGATGATATCATCGAGCTCCGCTCTTCCCCTGCAGATCTCTTTTCCGGCGCGATCCTTTCCCTACAGATCTCTGACTCGAAATCCTC